AAAAATTTTTTGCTCAATCTGCTTAGCAGAAAGTTTTTTGCTCAGAGAAGTATATGTTCCGCTCATCTACAAAAGAAATTAGAGGGAACATTGGTTCAGATTAGGAGTAATTCATTTTAAATAAATAAATATGTTATTTTAGCATTTTACAGTATATGTTATTTGATGCATTTTACAGTATTTTTTCTCATTACACTAAGTATTTTGCAATGAATCAAAATGATAACACTTTACACTATACACAAAAATTCACACCTAAATGATAATTCCAGCAGTAATTGAACAAAAAATTTTTGTTCAATTACTGCTGGAATTAGCATTTAGGTGTGAATTTTTGTGTTTAGTATATAGTTCCAGTTTACATATGCTAGTTTTTTGTCTGACTTTACACTATATTTTAACAGTAGATTATACAAATAATAACAAAAAAAATTATGAATAACTGTTTGTTTTCAGTTGAACTATTTTGTTGTTTTTCTTGAAATTTTTTTTTAAACTGCACTCTGTAGTTTAAAAAAAATTGTAGTTGGCCAATACAATGAGAAAGAATATGTTGTCCAATGGCATCACTTATATGAGATATATTTAACAAAATTAATATCTAACCCTCATTTCAGTATCATAAGACTGTTCAAATGAAACATAGACTGGATTGTATAAAACACATGGTGTCACTGGTCATCACAGCAAGATTACAGTATATACAACATAATGAAAAAGATGTATCTGAACATAGGAGGTAGTAGCTAACATCTCAATCTGGTACAAGTTTGTGTATACCATCTAGCAGACTTCTTTTTTTAAGTGCTCAGACTTTCCTGTCAGACTCGAATCTGTGATCTTTGATAAATTTTTTTAAAAGTCTGAAAACATGGAAGTCACAAGGTTGTAAGGCAGATGCTGCATTACTTCAGATAAGAGGTTGAAAGTAATGTCTTAAAACTTCTGGGATAGTAATCCGTTTGATAATTTAAATAAATTGTTTTTTCCCCCAGCATTAAATGTGATAAAATATGGTTCCTCAACAACATTTTCCATCTAAATTTAATAAATACAAATTTTTGGATATTTGACTGAGTGTCTTACATGAAGGTTTTGAACTGAATAGACTTTTTAGAGAGTTATTGTTATTGCTTCATTGATGTTTAAATAATCCAATAATCAGAAAAATATATTTTTAGGTGTAAAGATAAATCCATTACTATTCAATATACTAAAACTTATAAATGAGTAAAATAACTAATGACTGCATACAAATCAGTTAATGCCAGATTATATCATAATGCATTGGGCTATTTGTCAGCTACATCAATAATTAAATTTTAAGTAATTTGTTACTAGAAATAGACATGAAATGCCATCTCTCATTAAATTTAATAATTATAAATTAATGTAGCTGAAAAATAACCTGATGCATTATGGTACCATTCGGCATTAACTAATAACATTAGGTTTTGAGATGTATGTTTACATATGTACAAATCAGATAATTAATTAAGCAAACAAACATTTAAAACTTAAAATAATGAATATTAATTTATGAATAGATGTTAATTTCTAAATCTAATTAGAAATTTTATTCATACTTACTTTAATGCAAATCTATCATACTTTTGATAATAATTAATTCCTTTTAATGCAAGTTCAATAAGTTTTAAGCCAACTTGTATCTAAAGGAAAAACAAGTTTTAATTATTTTATAAAACTTTTAAAAATCTTGACATAAAACTTATCTTACTGCATCTTTATATCTTGACTGTTTCATTAATGTATCTATCATTTTTAAGAGCTCATCCTAAATTTAAAAAACAACAATATTTAAAATAATGTCTTAATTTTAAAATATATAAAATTGTAACTTACTTGTCTTTGAGTTGATAAATCCCTAAAAAATTTCAAAATTTAATAGATTAAAACTATATCAATGAAAAAAACAAATTATAAAATACAAACCTAAAGTGACGATAAAATATAGGTAATGAAGTGTATTTCTTTTCCCATACTTTGAATTCATATTGAGATAATATCTGTTTAACATTTGTTATAATAGCCGTAGCTTTATAATACCAATCTGTTGACAGATATTCTACAGGTAATACTCCCTAATTGCAAAATTAATATTAAAAAAAAATTGAGTAAAATATTTAAAATTAAAAGTTGAACAAATAACTATACTTACCACAGAATTAATAGGAATAGGTGCACCAATTAAAATTGATATGAGAGGTGCAATGTCAGCTTGACTTACATCAACTCTACGTACATATGTTAATTTCCATTCTATATACAAATTTTAATATTTATCACATATCAAAATTTACAAAAACTTCAATTTGAAATTTTTAAGCTATATATAAATAAAATAATAATTATAATTTGGAGAGACAGAGGGGGTTTATAGTTGCCATTCAAGATTAGATCATAAACACTAAAAACTTCAGAAAATATCATACATTCTGAAGGATACATCCCTCACAAATGAATCTTGCAGAAAATGCCACTTTCTGCCAGAAACAATACAACTTATAACCTCTGATTGCAAGATCTTAGCACAAACAGACTATTTACATAGGCATAATCAAATAGCAGATATAAAACACCAAGAGCTTGCACACAAACACAGATTATTAAACATCCAGATACCATACTATAAAAATACTTCACAGTCAGTATTAGATAATGACATACAAAATAAACTATGACTGAGCCATAATCATAAATAAAACAATTCATCACAATAGACTTGACATCACTTTTATTAATGAATGCAATAAGATCACTAAGATCTCCATACCAAACATTCATAACATGAAAAATGCTCACAGTGAAAAATCAAGTACACTTCACTCGCCCAAGAAATAAGACACCTGTGGAGGATGGATAGGGTATTTATTATGCCTATTGTCCTCTCTTCCACTTGTGTCATAACACATACACTACACAAAAGTCTAGAAAATGTTAAATCTTCATAAAAACATATACATGACACTACAGAAAGCTGCAACGTTGAACACATGTCACATTTTTAGAAAGTTTCTAGATTTTGACACATATACCAATAACACAGTTTAATGTTACAATTGTTTGGTTAACTATGCCTTGACTTTAGTCTGGCATAGCACTTGGCACCAGTATCAGCTGAGCATGACATTTACATCATTTAATTCTGCATATCAACACCATATTTAACTTGTGATTAATTTTAATTCTCTGTAAAGTTATGAAGTTGTATTTTTATTATTTAGCAGCATCAAATTTTATTAAAATTATTTACCAACTTCATAAAAATTTTAAATACTGCTAAAAACATTTTCTCTGATTTGAAAATGTTTAAATGCATTAAACAGTAATAACATAAAAGTTTGCACATATTCATATTGTCTCATGATAATTTATTCCATTGTGCTTAGGGATGTCAAAAGATTTTCATAGGATACCACTGAGTCTATGAAAGCATCCTAACTTGTTATTTTTTACCTATGACTGAAAGTGTCCATACAAAACACAGAGAAAAATTACTGTGATTATGTGCTGTTTGTGTATGTAATAGTTTTTATATAGATATGCCTTCGACCTTGATCTGACAGCATTAAGCATTAGTATTAACAGAATAGGATATTTAAATTAATTAAAAATCTACTAATGTGAGGTAGATAATAGCAAGGTTGAGGTCAAAGATTTAAACGTGAAAACGTGTATGTCGGACGTTCAGTGCCGCTTTCCTGTAAGCCTAGAAGTTTAACAATAGTGTTTAGAATGTCGAGCATGATTCCACTGACTATCCAAACACCATTGTCAAACTTCTCGGTTTACAGGAAAGCGGCGCTGAACATCCGACGTACATGTTTTCGTGTTTAAAACTTTGGCCTCAACCTCGCTAATAAGGACTTATCACACCAGTGATAATAAGCACAATCACCCAGGTATCAATGGAGTACATTTAATAAAAACAAAAAGAGTATGTTAAAATCGATTACATGCGTAATTAACATGAAATTCATGTTAAATATTAAACTACTCTACTAAATACTCTACTAAAATGAATTTCATGTTAATTACTCATGTAATGATTTTAATGTACATACACCCCTTTTTTGTTTTTTATTAAATGTACTCCATTGATACCTGGGTGTTTGTGCTTATTATCACTGGTATGATACGTCCTTATTATCTACCTCACATTAGTATATTTTTAATTAATTTAATTATACCAAGGGCTAAAAGCAATTTTTTATTTTAAGAATAGGATATAATCCATCAAAACCATAATGATAAATAATATATTATTAATTTACTGTACACCTGAAATTTGATAAATTCACAATAGTTCAGTCAAAAATATACTGATAAAAAATACCTTGAAATTATTTATATTATTATTCTCAACTCTAAAATTAATCACTAACCTTCAGATAAACCATCATGATAAACATCTTTTCCTGTTCCTAGAGGGCCTCTTATACCTGCACCCCAAGCAATTAAAGGAGTAAGTGTTTCGTGGGGATGTCCTGCTCCATGTGATCCTAAAAATGAAAAACAACAAAATAACTTGTATTTTTTATAACTATATAATGTGCATCATTTTTAAAAAAAAACACAAATAACAAGTTTTAAATAAAATAAATAAATGTGTAAAATCTAACCCCATTCAGTCATTCCATGATCAGAAGTAAAAATAAAAGCAGTCTGTTTATCATCATCATAGAAATCTTCAATAAGTTTTACACATTGCTGGACTCCTTTATCTACTATATTAATATTTTGTAGATATTCCCTATGTTCAAAGATTAATTAACAACAATATATTGGTTTTGATTATATTTAATGTCAATAAAGAAGTATTTTTAAAAATTTAATTGTTAAATTATGAGCATATTCTTGCCTCTGATCTGCTTACTGTGATCCTGGTTTATGAGAATGTCCATTTGTATCCAAACCAAGAAGGTGTAAAAAAAATATTATTTGATCATCAGAAAGAAGATGCTTCAATGTTTTATTTTGCTCTGCATGCTTTAGAAAATCCTGAAATTTCACTTTATAAAATTATTTTGAATATAAAATTAAATCTTATGACATAAATTAGTTTAATAATAAAACTTTATATTTAAATATAATAAATAATAAATTCTAACATGAAACTTATCAAAAACCCAAGTATCAAGTTTAGATGAATCAGCTCCTGCAAAATCCTCTTCTTTAGCATCATAAGTATTAATAAATATATGATTTCCTTTGGAACCTAAAATTAACAAAAAGTTTTCAATGATTCATGCAAAGATATTAACATTTTTCAAAAAAATTTATTAAAATCAATTTACTGACAGAATTTGTATTTAATAAAACACAGTGGAACCTCACTTAAGCATAATTTGTTCCAGAATCTTACTCATAATGCAAAACACTTGTTAAGTGAAACAATCTTTCCCATATAAATTAATGTAAAATATGATAATGCTTTCCATGCTAAAAAAATACTCAAATAGTTTATGTATAATGTTCATTCAAAGAAAATTATACAATATAAATTGTTAAGGAGCATGAATCATCTTCACCTTTCCTTCTAGCATGGAATGAACCAACCTGGAATGTGAATTCGGTTTGCAGAAAACAAAAAATTACAGATAATATGTCTGATAAACATGCCAAATTCTTGGGCTATGTAAAGGCTATAATTAAATTTTAGAAACTAATTAATTAATTTGACTAGAAGTAGGCAGTTATGCTGCCATCTCATATTAAATTTAATAATTATAAATAATTAATTTTTAATTTAGATATTCCTAAAATTTAATTTGGAATTAATGGTTAATTTTTCTCATTATACTGAAACCCGTGTAAACTAGAATCATATGGTACCAAATTATTTTTATTCTATTTTGGCAAGTTTTAGTTTTTTTATCTTTAAACTAAATTAGATAAATGTCATACAGTTACATTCATTTTTTACAGTAAAATAATTTTAACATAAATAAAACATTTTTATTACTAGGTGTAATTCAAAGTGATTCCATCTATAGCAGGGGTGTCCAACCTTTTTGTTTCTCTGGGCCGCATTGGAAGAAGTCAAGGAGTTTTGGGCCACTCCTTGACTTCTTCCAATGCGGCCCAGAGAAACAAAATATAATTAAAAAATTAAATATATAATACG